GAATAAATCAATGTTTTGCAACCTTGGCATTTTGGGCTATGGAATTCTGGGAGGTAAAGTCCACACATCTTAAAGTGTGCTAGCTGGGGAATTCTGGGAGTTGAAGTCCACCCATCTTAAAGTTGCTGAGGTTAAGGAACCCTGTCTTAGAGGAAGAACAAGCAGGGGCAATAGAATAAATCAATGTTTTGCAACCTTGGCATTTTGGGCTATGGAATTCTGGGAGGTAAAGTCCACACATCTTAAAGTGTGCTAGCTGGGGAATTCTGGGAGTTGAAATCCACATGCTGTAAAGCGTGCTGGCTGAGGAATTCTGGGAGCTGAAGTCCACCCATCTTATAGTTGCCAAGGTGAGAAACACTGGAATGAAACTTTAGGCCTCTTCCCATAATCCACTACCCGTCTTGTGATCAGAGATCGTGAGGCGCTGTAGAGTCAGTGTCAAGGGATCAAGACCTCCAACAATCCGGAGGGCTCTTATCCTTCACGGTCCTGCATCAGGGATGTTCCTCGCGGCCAGTGTAATGCGAATTCCTCAAGTTCTTGGATCAGGCGGCGGAATTTACGCCGCCCCGACAGGGGAACGCTGGTCTGTCTCCGTAGCGAAGCTCGGGAGGGTTAGGCCGCGCGGTATCTAGGCAACTGAAGTTTCCCGGAAGCCACGCTAAGCGGGGCGCTCTCGTTGGCGCTTCCATCTGGCCACTGATTCGCAGAGAGGCCGGAAGGGGGCGGGCGGAGCCGAGGCGGGAAGGAAGGATCGAAGTAGAAGAGGGCGAGGGAGTAGGCGCTTGGAATTCTGAGGTAACTCTTCTCGCGCGCGCTGAAAAGAAGGGGCGCGCATTGGTTCCTGCGCGCTAGACGAGTCCAAGTCGCGGGTGGCGGGGGAGGGAGCTGTAACTTTCGACTCTCCCATTCCGGAGGGGGGAGTTGTTTTCAAGCCCGCTTTGTTGCTTCCTCCAATTTCTCTGCCACAAAATGATTCTTGACGGGCCGAGAAGCGGGGCGCAGGGGGGGCAGCGAAATGTCCCCCCCACCGTTTCGTGAGTGAAAAGTCTTAATTTTGGAGGGGGGCGGGTTGGAAAGGACCACCATCCCGGAGTAAAGTTTGCTTTCTCTCGCGCATCAACTCCTTTTCTTAAAAAAATAAAAAATAAATTATTCCTAAGATTTGTGTCCAGGCGGTGTAACCTCCATTTTAATTTTTCAGAGTCTATTCAATTATATTCAAATCGCCTTGAGTCATATATAAAAAAGGTGTTATAAAATATAATAATAACCGTAATAATAATGTTTCATTCTGAATATGGATGAGCCACCTGACTGTCGGTTGGTTGGTTGGTGTATTTATTTATTTAGGAACTTATAAACTGCTTCAGTTGAGTGACTCTTAAGTGGTGTACAAATAATGATGATGATGATAATGATGATGATGATAATGATGATGATGATGATGTTGATAAGAAAGACAAAAAAATCTGGATGGTGGACATTGCAATACCTGGAGACAGCAGAAGAGAAGAGAAAGAACTGAAGAAAATCACAAATTACAAAGACCTGCAAATAGAAATAGAAGGACTGTGGCAAAAGAAAGCAAAGAGAGTGCCAACAGTCACAGGTGCCTTGGGGGCAATCCCAAAACATCTGGAGCCCCTCTTGAAGACCATCGGCATTGACAAAATCACCATCAGCCCATTGCAAAAGGCAGCTTTACCTGGAGCAACTTCCAACCTGCGACAATACCTTGAACACCACCAAACCACCACATCTGCCTATCTCAGGTCCTTGGGAAGGATTCGATAGCAGGATAAAAATGCCAAATCCAGTCTGAACATCTGGCTGACTGTGCAACCAACCATAATAATAGCTACGCCAAAGACTCTGGCTACCTTGCAAGATATCAAATATACAAGTAAAACAATTAAAATTTAAGATTGTTTGCCACCTCTAGAGACACTTGCTAACATGGGCGGCCATACAAATTGAATAAATAAAATTAAATAAATAAAAAACTTAACAGCTGGACAAGAAAATAGCCATAACCATCAGAAAACATGACAGAGGCTCCACAAACACACAATTGAACTAGAAGCATACAATGCATGGCACATCTGCCTCTCTTTCCTGGCACGGTTTCGCTCGGATGGCTTGTCATTTCAATGTGATCCTGAATGGGGTTTGTTCTGCAGCTTGTTTGAGGTGGTTGCTGACATTTTGGTTTTGCTTGGCAGGTTGTGGTGAGCATCCTTCTCCATCTCCGCAAGCTTTTGGAAGTGTCATCCCTTCAAGGTAGACCAGACCAGGAAACCAAAATTATGAATGCTAATACTTCTTTTATTATATGGTTATAGTAACAGAATCTTGCAAATGTGAATGCCCCCCCTGCTTTATCTTCATGAGAACTAGGGAGGGTCTTGTCTGAGACGCTTTCTCAAATTACATTTCTGCCCCAGACTCAGGTTTCTTTTATCTGACTGTTGTCTTGATAGCAGCTCTTCCTCCTGTTCCTCAAGGTCATTCCTTCTGTCCATTACAAGAAGATGCTGAGCAGCCACCTCGAGGATGATTGAAGGGGTTTCCTGCATGTGGCAGAGGGTTGGACTAGATGGGTCCTCTCCAACACCTCCATTTGGGGATTCTGTGAAAAGCCCTTTGTGACTTGGCTTCTGGTTACCTTTGGGTAATCCTCTGCTCTGGGTAGGACGTACGTGTCCTACACGTGCGAGTCCATAATTGTAAGATTCTAAATTTTCTAGATTTCTAAATCTCCCTTCTTTATGCATTTTTGGAGGATGGCAGATGTGATTGTGTTGTTCTGTAGCTGAATCAATGGGATTTACTCTCCCAAAGAAAGTGCTTCAGATCCCAGCCCCAATCTTAGATCAGTGAGTGTCTAAGTATGCCTGTGAGGATCCCTATAGGTTGACCCCGAGGCCTCCATGTCTCCTTGGCCTTCTCTCCAAAAAGCTGCTTCTGTCTCCAGCCATGCTGCACACCCAGATTTTTCAGTATTTATCCTGATATGCAGTTCCAAATTATTATTTTTGTCTGGGGCAAAGTTTCTTGCATTTTCCCCAAGCAATGAGCTATCTTCGTTTGTATGTTCAGACCGTAGTTTGTCAGGTGCCAGAGGCTGCTTTAGATCTTGGTAGTAGTTAGATTAAATCTGTGCTGCCATTTTCTTCCAACTACAGAGTTGGAAGGGATCTTGAAGGTCATCTCCACTCATTCCTGAGCAGCGGCAGGAAACTTGTTGATACAGTACTTCTTGGCCATTCACTTTCTTTCTCTCTGCCTACAGCGTTTATATGCCGCTGCAGTTGAAACCATTTCACAACAGGTGACATACTATATAATGTTAAAAAGTACTGAGGCCAAACCACAAATAGCAACATTTTATTTGTTTGTTTGCTTATATTTCAAATTTAGTCACCGCCCATCTCACTCAAGGAGCGACCCTGGGTGGTTTACAATAAAACAAGAATAAATACTAATTAAAATACAATAAAACAATGTACATAAATAAATAATGTATTCCAGGGAATTGATGGTAAATGAAAGGTATTAACCTACCGGAGCGCCTTCAGGGTGCCAGCCACTCCCAGGGTTGGTTACACCTCCTCATGCCCCACACATACAAACAGTGCCAGAGAATAAATGCTACATTCGTTAATCTCCAGCTTGCAGAAGGAAGCAGCTCATTACATTCCCACCCCCATACCTTGAAAAAAGTAAATTTTGATGCCCTTTCTGACACCCAGTAGGGTAGGTTGTGGCCCAAATGTAAATGGTTTTCCTGAACAATAAATCCCTTTATCAAGTTCAGTAAAATTGACTTCTAACATGTATTTAGGAGCTTAGCCTTGGAATACATTTTATACACTATTACTTAGGAGTAAGTCCCACCTGATTTAGTTGGAATTATTTTTGAGCAGACTGACTTAAAACTGAGCTGTTTAAGGGGTTCAGCATTCATCTTATCCATTGCTGCTTCTGTTCTCAGTTTCACTCCTCCTGAACTAAAATCAGAGAGGATTTCAAACATGGATGGGCAGGCAGTTTGTTGCAGCCTGTTCTTGGGATCTTGGGTACGTGACCGCATCTGCAGGCTTTTTTGATGGTGGTTTCATCATGCAGAAATATAGAGCCTGATGCATCATTCAGACACTGTTTGTTAAGAAGGGCCCTGCAATTCTTTTTTTTTTTTTTTTTTAAGTAGTGCAATTCGCGATGTGGGTTTTAAAAACGATCCTAACATTTATAGTGTGACTATTTTAAAAGGCTAGAAAAAAAAAATTGGAATCCATCATGGATTGTAGAATGCAATGTTTATATTTTGTGTGGTATAGTAAAAATTACAGAACAGAAAGGCTACCTGTTCCAGATATTGTAGGTTTCATCGGGAAGAGCCAGGGTTTCCCCATGCTGGCTCTGGAGAACTCTGGTAGCACCATTTCCGACTAACAAATTTTATTAAAAAGCATAAGCTTTCGGGAGCTGCAGCTCCCTTCATCAGATGCATGAATTCCAGGGAAGGAAGCAGAAAGCAGCAGTTCCTTCGCTGGGCAACAAATGAGACCTTTCTGGTTTCAGTTCACTTCTTTCTAGAAGGACAAACTCCTGCACTTGTTCTGTGTCATATATTTTCTTCATTAGATTCGTAAGGCCACCCAGTCATCAAATGACTCATGAGATCAGGTTGGTATCGTCATGGCAATGGCTCAACCTCTTGGTAGCTCCTAGTCACCCAGTTGACCGATGAGGCTGGAAAGTGCATCCTCTCAGCTCTTCAGTTGCCTTTTTCTAATTCTGCACTTTGTGGTATTCCTGCAGTGTGAAGATAATAGTCAAACTTCAAGTCAGGTTCTTTAATTTATATTTATTTATTGATATATCAAATTTGTCACCGCCCATCTCGTTAAAAAGCGACTCTGGGCGGTTTACAGAAAGGATAAAATCAGTTAAAATACTTAAGTAAAGTAAAAGACTTAAAAGAAGTCTTAAATAATAAATAGATTCCAAGAATAGCTCGGGGAGCGTCATCAGGGCGCCAGCCACCCCCAGGATCGACCATACCTCCCATCGCCCCACGCAAGCTGGCACAGCCAGGTCTTTAGCCCTTTCTGGAAAGCTGGGAGGGTAGGGGCCTGCCACACGTCTGGTGGGGGGAGAATATTCCATTAATTTAACACAATTAGAACTTCTGTAGCCATTTTGTCATTGACAATGATTGTTTCAGCACATTTGACTCCTTGGGACCTTATAGTGCACAAGTTTTAGCACAAGTTTGACTCCTTGTGACCTTACAGGGATGACCCTGGTAATTTCCTTAGCAACAAAACGGGGGATTTTTCCTTCCATTAGGGATTTTCAGCTTCCCAGTTGAAACTTGATGGTGCATAATTTAAAACACTGTTTCTTTTTTCTTGAAGGTGGATGCCCTGAAAAGTCAATGTGATTATGGCATTACCAACATCAGAATACACCATTGGGGGAGTAAAAATTCTCTTCCCATGTAAGGCTTATCCATCACAACTTGCTATGATGAACGCAGTAAGTCATATAGCAATGATTTTACAATATTCATTGTTAAGGTTATAGTTAAGCTTCTATAATTAATTGCAAGCAAGGACTTTCTCCAACTTCCTTGATCTTTAATGTCTTTCAACTTTTTAAAGTTTTGCTTGGTTAAGGTTTTGATTGTTGTTTTTCAAAAAAAAAAAAGCAACAGGATTAACTTTTAAATAATAGTGAAAATTATTGGCAACCAATATTCAGATCTCAAATTCAGGCACTGAGCCTACCTTGAAACTGAAGTTGGGAGCAATACAGCCTCATGTGGCTGGAAGCAGAAGATGGGCAGCCCTTCCCTTTTCATTAAACTATCTGTAGTTTTGTGTTATGTCAGAAGAACTGTAGATTAGTGAAACAAACAAGGATTGAAAAGCATAGTTCAATTTTGGCTTATTTTAAGAAACTTTAGATTCGCCATGACTTGATCTAGTTTAGACAGAAGAATGAACTGATAATATTAATATGTCTGATATAATGTGAATAACATCTAGAGCAGGAGTAGGCAACTTGTGGCATTCTGGATCTTACTGGCATATCTTACTGATATATGTTACCCAATGTGGCTATTGGGGAGTGATGGCTCATGTTGTAGTTAAGTAGCAGCTACCTCTTAAATGACAGCTATAGATAGTGTTGAAGAATTTTATATATTTCAAGTATCATTTCTTTTTAAATTTGATTATATTTATATTTTACCTTCCTTTTTCAAAAGTTTTTGTTGAGACTATTCGAATCAGAAATGGAAAGCTTTTTTTTTTTTTTACCTATTAGGGAGTTAGGATCCAATATTTCTCTCTGAGTGGAAATTGTGTTTGCTGTTGAAATCCCATGTTTTAAAATGCATAGCAGTTTACATTGCTTTTCAAATTCAATTCTGCTATTAATGAAATTAGGAAAACAGCTGAAAGCAACAGATAAATCCAATCTTTAGATTTTCTTAGTTGCCCTCTTACAGTAAAAAAGGGAAAAAGGCAGCTGCTGGTTGTTTTCCGTGCTGGCCAAGTTCATTTCCTTATTTGCAGATTGTGAAGGGGCTCAGCTCCAAGCAGCACTGCCTGTTGGAGAGTCCGACTGGAAGCGGGAAGAGCTTGGCGTTGCTCTGCTCTGCTCTGGCTTGGCAGCGGTCGCTCTCTGGTGAGACCTTGGGTGGGTCTGCTTGTAAGTGGATGCCATCAAAGACTCTGCTTCTGGCTTCACTCTTCCTGCTAATCCATGAGTTATTTATTTTTATTTATTGGTTAGATTTATTTATTTACATTTATTGGCTGCCCAACTCCAGTGGACTCTGGTGGCATACAAAACTAGGGAAAACATAAAAACAGGTAAAAACACTGAATCACCCAGGCAGCCCGGGCTAAATAATCTAATAGATGGCAAAAACAACAGCACAAAACAGAGGCCATTGAACAAATATAATCATCAACCCCAGCCCTGGCACCAAAGCCAGGATTTTAGATATATGCCCTCTTTTGTACAGGAGTGCAAAGTGGCATATATGATGCCTCCCTCCACCTGTTTTTTTTTCCAGTGCAACAGCCTTGGAGGTAGGCTGGCCTGAGAGAGAAAGTCCCCCAGGGAGCTTCTGTGGCTGTGGGGGGACTAGAACCCAGGCCTCCCTGCTTTTATTCCAGTGCCTTTATCATTGCAGCTCTCAAATTTTTAAAATACTGTATATGCTTGCAGATAAGCCCATCTCCAGATAAGCCTACCCACAAATTTTTACCATGAAAAATGTGCCGCTCGCGGATAAGCTGATCCTCAAAATTTTTGTATGTTTTTTCAATATTTTCTGAAAATATTTGTTTTAATATTTTATTTTCATATTTTGTATCAATAAATGTTGTTTTCCAGAACCCATTCCATTTTCAGTTTTCACAATGGGCATATCTGCGGGTAGTGCATTTTTCATGGTGTTTTGGCTAAAAATTCGGGCTAAAATTTGCAACTCTTGGAGGAGTTTAGGGAGGAAGGGCTAGTAGCAGAATATGCTACTTAAATCTCTCAGGAAGCTTAAAGCTCCTATTACATTCTTTAAACCTTCTCCCGAAGGGCCAGTTTTACTACTGGGGGGACAATAGGACATGCTTGATTTTGATGGCTCTGCAAAGTTTAAGGCACCCATTTTGCCTCTTAAAACTCTCCCAAGCCCCTCTCAAAGGGCCACAATTTTTGGCTCCACCCACTCTGGTACTGTCATGATCCCTTGTAGTCTTCAGGGGCCAAGATAATCTTAGTCTTCCCAAGGCCCAGTCCAGCATGCAAACAATTGCCCACCTCTCACTTACTTGCTGCCGAATGACTCCCAGTGTCCCTTTCAGGGATTTGGGGGCAATTTCTAGACGGTCCCAGGTTCCCCATCCCCTCCTAGACCAGTTCTGTCCCAGAGGACAGAAACAAAAATACAGCCAAGAAATTCCCACGGTATTATTTTAAAACATCTTGTCTGCTCTTTAGAAAAACTGCCTGATGCCTTATGCTCAAAGGACTGCAAGAAAACAGAGGTGTTGAAGCTGTGTCACTGCCTGTGCCATGCTAAATTCTCCACTCAGGATACAGAAGGAGGCAGCCAGAATACTTCTTCTTTCTTCCCCAGCAGTGCAGCGGAGACCCCCCCAGGCAGTGGGAGTATCTCAAGAAACAGAGGTATTGTCTTCTCTGAGAGGCTTTTAAGGGCACAACCATCATCTGTGTGTCTCAAGGGTCGTTTTTACCAGAGTTGTCATGTTAGAAATGACCTGAAAGGAGACAGAAGGAAATGAGTAGCGATTCATATGGACTAGCAAGATTGTGATCCTAATAGCAAGATTGCTGGAGGACATAGTAAGCAGAATAATTTGGGGTGGGCTGATAGTGGAGGAGAAAAAAAAAATCAATAGAAGCGAATATGTGTAGCTCAGGATTGAACTGTGGAGTGCTTGGGGTTCTCTGAGCTTGGCTGTTTTCTTGCAAATGTTTCGTTACCCGGCTAGGTAAGATCTTCGGTGCTAGAAGGGAATGGGGTTTGCTCTCTGTTTATATACAGTGGCCTGCCCTGCCAGTGTTGCTGGGGGTGTGGGTTTTGTTTTGTTTTATTTTTTCCCTCTGGTAGTTCCTTGATTAGGGTGTTGTTTACTGCTGATTGTATGTCTGGTGATAATCTTGGGGTTAATCTCTGCTTATCTGGGTGATGATTGCTGGCGAGGCAATCAGAAGACATGATGAAAACTCCTTAATCTCATAACACATGGACAGACTTAACCATAATTTCAGCTGGGAAACTGTCAGCATCTTAGACCAAGCTAAATCCAAAAATGCGAGGG